AATTAATGACTGATTAATATTAAAATATTGGTGCACATAGTTTCTCCAATTTTTGTTCGTTTTTAAGTACCGTTGATATTATCGTTTGTATTGTAATCGTCCATAATTAAATCAGTTATTCGATCTATGTTAATGGGTTAGGCGTTCTTTACTTCGATTCCAAAATACCTTTATAGATATTGCAATAGAATTAGGGTCAAACAACAATTGGCTGTTACAAAAATCGTTCGCAATGGCGCCGGTGCATTTATTCTCTGTGTTCTCTCAAATGCTAATCTTCTGGATTCTTCAACCCCTCTAGTTTCGACTCTCTAAACTTATCTCACTGAATCATACTTCTTGAATAGTATCTTCTAATCCTAACCTCTCCGATTATTTCTAATTCCCTTACTACCTCTTCTACTATTGGATTTGAATTGACGATTACTTCTCTGTGCTGATGTGGTATGGCAACATGAACTGATGTACTCATGTACAAAGTTCTACGTTGCATCTGACTGACTGACTGTTACAAATTAATGCTACTACTGGCTAGACGGTCAGAACAATTTCGGCATGGCTCCCAAGGATCCATCAAAAAAAAAGAAGATAGCCGATTTGAGAAAACTTTGGATATTAAGAATTTACCCGAAAAGCAGCGAAGTTGGGCGACAAAATGTCCGCTCTGGTAATGTGGTGTGCCAGTTCGAACTGATGCATGTGTTAGGTTCTACATTACCTATATCACCTTTTTTTCTCCTTTTAGATTTACATCACTGGATTATGCTTCTTCAAACATATCTTCGAACCCTAATCTTTCCGAATACTACCAATACTTATACTACCTCTATTACTATGGAGTTTTGGTTGAAAGTTCCATCACTGTGCTGACGTGAACGTACGAAGTTCTTCGTTCCAGCTGACTGACGCTGGTTTACTAAGTGGTAGTCCCCAAAACTCTGTCTGTGAACCCTCCGGAGCTACTGCAGGTCCCAAGCCCGCATAAAGGGGGAGAGTTGGGGTTGGCGTCAATAACAAAAACTATTCAAACAATATAAACTCTGCTCCGTAAAATAGAACGTCTTCATTTAGAAGAGCTATGACGTCTCATGATGAAAGCCGAGTTCCTTCGGAAGTTACAACGCTGATTCCCCTTTTGTCAACCAGAGACCTTCCAAGGTGTGAGCAGCCGGAAATCAACATCCGCACTCATACCCATAAAAGCATACGAGACCAAATCGGTCACAATCAAATCCTTTCTACACCTCCTAGTGACTCTCTTATCTCCACTACTCACCGTTCTCGCATTCCTTTATCACCCCGCACGGCAATTGCAAACGATTCGAGTTCACGAATCGTTATTCCTGGTCTTAAAATCCGCTCGAAACTAAATATTGGAGCTTTAATGTTTGAACCTTGTGCCAAATAGGGCAACAGGTTTCCTTAGCTAGAACTTCAGAATCTCGCTCAATCGATGTATGCTGCGCCTGCGAAACGTGCATACAGACTCCTAGTAAAATCATTAATTTGATTTCACTTTGTAAAAATAAAGAAGCACATCGATTTACTCTTCGTGTATCTGGAAGACCTGATGCTGCTTACCGTGGTCTCGCTGGTGCAGGTGTAGCATTGAGTCCTAGGGTAGAACTAGCTCTCTTAGACTGGATCCCGATAGACAGCTGCTTATGCGCTGTCCGACTAAATGGGACGGTACGGACTCGTAAAGACAGGGAAACTCACCGTTGCCTCTTTGTTGTTTCTGTCTACGCTCCCACTGACTGTAACCGGACGAGATAAAAAAGATGAGTTTTACAGAAACCTCTCTAACCTCCTTCAAAGTATTAAGCGCTCTGATATAGTAACAGTGGCTGGTGACTTTAATGCTCAATTATGCAGATTAAGTGTAAAGGAAAGACACTTGGGTGGATTTTATGGTGTCGTGGCTCAAAGGTCAGATAATGGCGACCGTCTGCTACAGCTATGCTCAGATAACGGCCTATATTTAGCAAACAATAACTCTAAGGATAAGGAAAAACATCTCTTGACCCGGCAACCACCAAAGTCGACTCACACTGGACCCAACTAGATCACATCGCTATCAGCCACCGATGTTGTGTTCAATAGAGGATTGTCGCTCATTCTGGGGCTTATATTTAGATCCTGATAATGCTGTAGTACGAGCGCGTATTTGTTTTGAAGTTACTGGACGTAGGAAAGACTGCAAGGAAACCTCTAAGGGTTCTACCTAATGATAGCATAGCTAAGGATATACTTCAGGAACAGATAGAAAACCAGTTAAGCAGTCATTAAGAAAGTGGTGCCCAATATGAGGTAGCTTGAAATGATATCCAAAAGCTGTGGAAAGAGCAGTGATATCTGCTAGTAAGGTAAACCATAAGGCTGGATCTCAGAAGCATCAACCGAACTGATAGACTCTCGGAAACTTATCCCAGCTGGCTCTGAACATGACGAAGAGCGAGATCAGATTAAGCGCAGGCCGATAAAAAGCCTACACAATGATCGCGAACAGTGGTGTGTGGCGAAAGCGAGTGCGATAGAAAAGGCAGCGATGATAGGTAACAGTAGACAACTGTTCCGACTTATCGAAGAAACCGGTATTAGAAATCTATCCGTTAGTGAAACTATCTCAGAAAGGGATCGCTGTATCATTTATCCTCAATCCAGGAGATTGGATCAACGGGTAGAACACTTCAGGAATTAATTCAACTGGCCTTCAGCCGCACTTCGGTTGCCTACAATTTCCAGTCAACCTGAGTGGTGAATTGATGTAAGTCCTACGACTCTTTATGAAGTTGAGAAAGCTATAGGAAATCTGAAGCGAAGGAGGGCAGCGGGTCCTGATAGATTGACCTCTGAGATCTTTAAGGATGGTGGTCTAGTTTTAAAAGTTAGATTGACTGAGATCAAAGGTAGGTTCTGGGCGCAATCTCATCCAGCTGGTCTCAGTCGCTGATTGTCATACTTTATAAGAAAGGTCAAATGTCCTCTTGTAACAATCACAAAGGAATCAGTCTAACTAAAATAGTATCTAAAATTTTGATCGCAATACTCTGATGCCTAACTAGAGCTCGTGAAGTACAGATTCGATAAAACCAGGCTGGTTTCAGAACCGGACAATCCTGTATAGACCACATTTTCACACTACGACGGGTCCTGGAACACAGACACACGTTCAGACGTCCCACAACAGTAGTATTTCTTGACCCTAAAGCGGCATTCGACTCTGTCGATCGTGAGGTTCCGTGGCAGTGTCTCTCTTTAAAAGGTATGCCAAAGAAGTACATTAACCTTATACAAGCTCTCTACTCGAACACCACTGGTTGAATAAGAGCTTATGGCGAACTGTCATCGGAATTAGTTACTTCAAGTGGTGCCCGTCATGGATGTCCGCTCTCTCCATTCTTGTTTAATTTTATCATAGACATGCTCCTAGAAATAACCTTATCCTCCTCTGACTTTTCAGGAGTGGACCTTCCACCGTGAGACTTGCTCGTTCAGTTAGAATATGCTGATGACATAGTTTTACTTGGTGAAAATGCTGACAAAATACAGTCTTCTGACTACCCTAAGCAACAATGCAAGCATGTTCGCGATGCGGTTGCCCCCCTCGAAATGCAAAATGCTGCTTCAGGATTGGCATGCTTAGGCACCCGAACTATTGATAGGGAGTGGTGTATTGTGTCGACCAAATAACCTATCTCTAGAGTCTTACAGTGCTGATGGCCTGGTGACTGACGAAATTTCTGCACGAACAAAGAAGGCCGGATTGACTTTTGTCAACTTGCGTCACTTATTGCGTAGGCGAGATATCCATTTGCTAACCAGAGGACGAGTCCATTGCGCAATAGTTTACTCCATCCTACTATATGGATACGACACATGGTCTGTGAGAGTAGAGGACATTCGTAGGTTGTTAGTATTCGATTATACCTATCTTCGAATCATTGCTTATGTATGCTGGGACAACCGAGTAAGTAATGCTGTCGTCAGGAAACGGGTATTGGGTAAGGGTGGCAGATCAATAGACGAAGTATTGAACCTTCATCAGTTGAGGTGGTTGGGACATGTGTTGCTTACTCCTAACCACTGACTGCCTTGACGAGCAATGTTTTGCGATGTGGGACTAGATTGGAAGATCTTGTTATATATGTCATTGGCTAAGTAATTTCAAAAGCGTACTTATTATCAACCACTTTGCGCGTTTATCTTTTTAATGAATTTAGTCTTCTCAAAACGTTTAACCCTACTGCTGCACGTTTATGCGTACGCAGGTTATTCATGCACAATATATCTGCATATCATAGTCAATGCAAGTTTACACGTTTCGCGATAAATGTGCTGTACTTCGAAGGCATTAGTTAACAAAAACCACTTTTTTCGTATTCTGTTCACCATTATTCTGGTTTCAAATTCTTTTATTGCGATATATCACGAGTACACTCCATACTCAGTGTACAATTGATTTTCTTACTGACCTCATTAATAGTAGAGTTCGCCATCTGTGTTAACCTATATTTATAGTACCTGTGGTAGGATTCTGAAAATAACCTATCCTTTGAATGAAAACAATAATTTGCTTATCACATTCAACTAGTTAACTCAATTTATAACTGATTGTGTGTATACCAACTGAATTTGAATGGCTTTTTTCATTTTTAAACTTCAATATTCATAGAACAGTTGGGATATTGAAAATTTTCAGTAAATTTATGACACTGAGTTTTTATGTTAGGTAATTTAAGTAAAGAACTTCTAAAAGCCTCATTCACATCCTCAAAAGGTTGAGCTGAAAACAATAACTAGTACTTTGCCCTCTCCTAATCCACATTTATTTATACAATCATTACACTAAGTGTCTTAAGCAATCAATTATAAAGTATTTGGTAAGTAGTACTTGAAGTTTCAGTTTTAAAGTGACATTTATGACATCGTCACAACTACCTAATACATTTTTCCAATTCATTTATAATGGCTTGTCGTTTTCGTTCATACCATTTTAGAATTTGATTATCGCAATAATCGTCGTTCTATACATGGCATACATTCCATAAACAAAGACCAAGAGCAGTATAATCGTGACTTGATGACTCAGTATGAAATAAATCGAGCCTTATTTCTGGCTAATCCACCTCCATCAGTTTTAGCTAGTCGCAATCGTGCTCGTACTAATGATAATAAGGTAAATGATAACCGTCGAATAGATATACAAAACAATTCCTTCAAACAACCTATACTAAATGGGTCACGTACTGATCGTTCAGCAGTTTTTCGACCACCATTCGATCAACAGCGTGATAAGTTCTTGTCAAAGTCAATGAAAGAGCGTACATTCCACAATTCAAAACCCGGTACGTTTTTTGTACACTAATATTGATTAACATTGTAAGTGGTCCTGTGATAATTCTTTCTTTGAATTAATGGATGTATAGACCATTGTTAATTGGCTAGTCTACTCGGTTAGGTTGATTGGGTGACAAGCCCTAAAAATCAGATCACTTAGAAATAAGCGCTGACGCTAATCGTGAGTTCAATGCAAACTAAGGGTTGTTTTGGCGATTCAGATTGAAATATCATTGATTTTAGTTGCAAAATGGACCCTCATACAATTATGTAAATGCTGTTTCAGGGTCTATGGCCTGCATCGGTCTTAATGCATTAGAAAGTTTCAGATCATCTATTTGTCTGTTATTTGCTTTATTATTTGGTCATTTCAACCATAAACTTAAACCAACCCATTCAATTAAGTGGACGTTAGCATACGAATGACGAAAAGACATACATTCTATGCTACAAGTTTTACATTTATTTTCAAATTACCTTGAATAGTGTCTGAAACAACTGAGTGATCGCATTTGTTTACGGCGACGTAATGCTGAAACTAACTCCAATTTTTCAATTTCCATATTAATTTCGATCTTAGATTGGTTTTTTGAACAACTACTGAGCAGTCACTAAAACACTCAAGTAATCGCCAGACAAACAATTCAATACCCTGAGCAACTAATCGATGATCATTATCAAGGTTAGGTCTGATGGTTTCAAATACATTGAGTGTTAGGTAGATTGGTAATGATAAAATAATATATTTTTGATATCTCAGAATTTTCTATCAACCTAGGTGTGATTGTGTCAACGTCATGTTATTTTTACTCGTGATTATTCTGTGTGAGACAGCACTGTGTGTATACTAGTGGATGTGAAATTTGTTTGTCTAGACATACAGATTAAGTTTGTACGTATGTGTATTAACAGTGCGAGAAATAAATAGGATGAAATATAGTTTGAATAAACGGTCCAAGCTGGATAGATAACAAGGCTGTCCTTTCTTACTTAGGGTAGAGATTCAACGTTATATAAAACGTTTCAGCTTCTTTTTTTAGTTAGACAAATATTTCTTGATTATTTCAACATTTTTAATATCGATTCAGTGATAGTTAAAAATCAGACACACTGCTATTGCCGATCTGATTCGTAGATTTTCCAGTTCTACAAGATAATGTGGTCTTTTTGTGTAGCTTAGTGGTTCCTTAGAACAAGTTGAGACTTCACAAGAATATTTTCTAGCATGTAAGCATTGCAATAGACTCAACCCGATCTAAAAATAAAATACTGTGCAGATTTAACGAAGATCTTTCCCTTTACCCGAACCAAAGCGTTTCTAAGAGTGTTGGTTATTTTCTAAAAAGCCTTAATTCTGTACAGCTTCAAGTTACGTTGCAATTTCTCCATACGATAGCGATTTAGTAAAACCACCATATCATTCTGTGATATTTCATTCGAATTATTGCGCAAACATAGAACGTTTCATTTTTATGCCTTATTAATCAGATTTATAAGAAAAGTATTACATCACAAGATGTTGAGTATGTAGTTTTGCTTCATTAGCTTATATTCTTAGGTTTTGTTCTTGGTGACTTTTCTGTATAGCTTTAGAACCAGGGGGATTTGAAACTGAATGAATGTAAACAGTGGAAGTCTCTGTGGCCATTTGAATGTATCGGTTTCTGGTTAATGATTAAATCTTGATTTCCGTTAAAACTTCTCTTAACTAACCAGTTCAATAATAGCGATTCAGTATGTTCATCTTCTATTCCGAAAGTGGATTTCGTGTAAACTGAGAACATAATTATCGGTTTACTAATATAAAGATTGAAAGAAAGTTCTTCACATTAAAAATTTTACATTTTACAGATTTACTAGCAAATGCGCATGATGATATCTAATGCATGATGACATTAACTACAAACGAAATTGAAAATCGAACCAAATAAAGTTTCGACGAAACAATATATTTTGCCACTTTTGACTGTAGTTTTGCGAAAGTATTATTAATTTCAGTAATTTAGATTAAGTTGACTCTGAATGAGTTTATTAGATTTTTATTTTTTCAGACTTATAGCCGATTGGGCAGATGACTCTGACAATGTCTTTTTGGCTTTTCACTTACACTATTTAATATTTTCTTCCTTAACTCGAGTAAATCTGTTTTATTATTTCATACTTTATGGTTTGTCGATTAGCTTAAACCATTTTCAAACTTATTCGATTTCTGTTTATCTCACCGATTGTTTATTCTCGTATTTGTTTCATTTCATTTCCTTAATTTAATTTGTGTTAATTATTTGTAGGATATGATAGTCGGGGAGCATTATCCACAAATTCTCGTGGCTTTACAAGACATCCACGAGGTCTTTCTCACAACAATTTTCATCGTGGACAAAGTTCAAAACAGTATTGGGGTCATGATGACAGATTTGAAAATCATGAGAATACTGCAGGGATTCGTGTTCAAAACTCTTTTCGCAACGGTAATACTCTTATAACTTTATATATATATATATATATATATATATATATATATATATATATATATATATATATATATATATATAATGCCTGAGGAATTCGTAAATACGAAATAGTATTCTTTACTTATTTATCTGCTTTTTATCTTCACAGCAATCTAACCGTCCATCTACACTTTTTTTTACCCATATGAAGGAAACGTATTGTTCATAACAGGTCAAAATAATACAGAAATAATAAAACACAAAACGTTTGCACTCTCGATACAAATAAATTTCACAAAGTATCGTAAATACATTCAACTGACTAGTCCTACACGAGTAATAGATAATACTTTTAAAATTTGATTATTGGTGGGTAAATACTTATCATGTTATTTACCAGAACAAGAAAATCTTTTTTTTTATAAATTAAACAATTCACTAAACACAAGTAAAAAGCAACTTAACATTTTATTATCTTCCTGTTTGTTCCCATCTATTGGTTTACTGGATAAGGGATACGTAACAATAGTGATAGTCTCATTATAGTTGTTAATTTGGTCTGAGAGTTATGGTGCTTGACACAATCCCGTGCGATTGTATAATATATCTATCATACAAGATATTCTGTTATTATACCCATGGTTTATCTTGAAATAGATACATCCTGCCCAGTAAATGGGACAGACAAACATGGTTTCTGTGCATCATTCAATTTATTGAATTTCTTTTTTTTTATTTAAGTTATTTTGTTTCTTTTGATTATGACAAACCAACGATCTATGTGAAATGATTAATAATAATATTAATCGATCAAAACAATATCACTTTCTGTTCCTGTTTTACATATTTCAAAAAAAAAACCAGCAAATGCGTTCATTTGAATACATATAAAAAAAGCCTGACTTACAGTGCTTCAATCGTCGAAGGTTCATTTACTGGTAAATTACACATAGCCATATATGGACTAGGTGTGAATTTCGAAAGTTGTTATTAGTATTGACTGAATAATATATCATTGCAAACAGATAAATAGTAATAATGTATGAGCAGTAGCTTTGACTAATCCAACATAATACAATCGATTATTTCTTCAATAAATTAGTTTCCATTTCCCCACCCCAGCCCCAAGAAACGGATATAACATGAGAAACATTCATCAAATTGTATACAAATACTTGACCATAGTAAGAAAAATACGCCAATAAATAGATAGTGTGGAGGTTGTTTGATTGGAACAATAAGAAACTGGATTGAATATGGAACGTTTTAAATGGAATTAGAGATTCAACAGACTTATAACTGTTATTTTGATTCCTCTATCAGTATTTGCAAGTTTTGAGGATACAAATCAACCAGCGGTTACTGCATTATGAAGAACAATTACATTTAAAGCTTATTAACAACTCTTCTAATATATCCGGACATACTCTGGCAAATGATGTTCCGTAATTGGATGATCAAGCACTGTGACTACTACGTACACACTGATGCTAAAACTTCCAATGAATTCCGTGTAAAATTAATGTGAGATGCTTGAGGTGAGAATTCTCATTAAACCAAATTCTAAATCCTAATTGTTGTGAATCATAAAAATACAGAGTCACCAGCTCACTAATTAAGTTTGTGATGGTGTATTTGGAAATCAAAGTTATTATTTATGTACGAAATATTCAACGAAAATAGGACGATTATGATTTACCTGTCAGTGAATGAATAAATAATGAAAAGCCAAAATTCACTAAACATCTGATGTCTACTTAATTCAACCTATGATAACGTAAACAGAGAACGAATACTGGCTCTTATGAAAGCCACTACATTATGATTACTTATTCAACTAGTGTTTGATTTATTTCTTTCAAGAATAATAAGTTGTGCCGGGTAACAGTAAATTACTTATGAATGAATACCTTAGAAAGATACGGTATCAAACAGGTATTAGTTCAGTGTTACATTTCCCACAGACTAGCGTATATTAGCCTATCGAACAATTATTAACATGTTTATGTTCTATCATCTAAGCAACTAGATGAGTACAAATTGAAATATACACATTAAATTTCAGGTAACCAGAAAAAATTCATATCACTTCCATAAATTAGATAGACAAATATTTTTGGATAAATAAAGTGAGATGCAATCTGTAGTGAGTGAAGTAGGTATAAAGTCCAGTGACGTAAATAGTCCTATGAAAAAATGATTTCAAGTGGACGAAAAGCAATACATTTCTGATCATAGTAACTATAATATCTAGTTATAACAGGGTAGATTGGCAAGCAATAAATTTAAGTGTTAACGTAGGAAAGTATGTGTTTCCAGAAAAACGTTTTATTTCTCCATGTTAATTTGGTATAAAATGGTTGATGATGTGTTTTTAGACATATGAGATACCATTTATGTTATTGGTCATGGCGTTCCATATATCTGAGAACTCAAAATGCCCTACATATCTGTAGTAAATATCATGCATGTACACGTTAGTGTGCCGTTGAAAACGTCTAGTTCTCCAAGAAAATAAATCGTGTAGATTATATAGGGTTTAAAAACACCACTAGTACTGAACATATTAATCTGATTTCGGATCAATTGTCGAAATCTCGACAACCACTTGGCAATCACGTGGTATAGAAAGTTAGTCATATTCAATAAACAAGGTCAAGCAATCAAGGACTATCATCTGGTCTAGATGATTATAGATGCTTGGAGAGATAATCACTAATGAAAAACACATCCTTGACATTTTTAAGGAATTTTCCTATTAATTACTTGATTCGTCTATTTGTATCTCTTCAAGTTGGTTATTTAGAGAACTTTTTCATGTTGTTATAGTAGTTAATTTTTAGATAATCAATTATACATTGTATGGAGATAATCTTAGCACCTGTGATTGATTTTTCAAGGCTTATGTAGTTGAGGTTTATTTTCTTTTCACCGTAGTTACTTGGGAATCGACTTCCTATTTACGTCCAGATGGACGTAATCAGCAACAGTTCTATCCACTGGAGATGATACAGGTAGACAAATCAAGCAAACGCTGACAAAAATCCTGAAGAAATTGAAAGATGAATTAATTATTAGTGGCAATCCTTCCAGACATACGAACCAGATAGTCCATGATTGTACGACCTTGCATAGTGAATATGACTAATTTTACATACCAAACAATCGCTAAGTGCTTCTCGAGATTTCGACAACTGATCTGGAATCAGAGGATCAATAGGTTCAGTACTCTTAATTCCTCTAAAATCGTTGATTAACCTAGGTTTGTTATGCGAAAGGAATACAAAAAATAAAAAAGCAGAAACAAATAATGTAAACAATCCCTTTGCTGTTTCATTTCTTTATTTTCTATAACTAACTGCTCATATGATAATTTCGAATAACTTATTCCTCAATAAAATTGCTAAAGACTTATTTAAATTGCATTACATCTCACAACTATAGTTATGATATTATAAATAGATTTTTAGCCAATATAGTATGATAAATACGCATTTATCCATATGGTATACACCTACACTGAACTAAACTTCAGTTTGTTGTGCAGGTTAGTCTTCCTACTTGCTTATTCTTATCTGATGCATAGAATTTTTATCTATTATTTTTAGAACGTGTCTTCTGGTACAATGTACACTTTCTGCTTAGTCCGGCATAAAATAATTAGTGCAGAATTTAAAAAAAGTAAACTATTAGAATCTCACCTAAAGCGTTTAATAGCTTATCCTGGTCATGTGAAATGCGATTAAATGCTGTCATTAAGAGCTTTGTAATATTGTTTTCTTTTTATATGGGTCATAATAACACTGTGATAACGGATACAAAAGATATTAAAAACTATTTGAACAAAATGTATTCTACAAAAATAAATAACACTTTATGATGGTTCCTTAAACAGTGAGTCATTTTCATACTCCACTCGTAAAAGCAACTACGATTGCTTGAACACACTAGAGCTTGTTAAGGTCATTGTAGGCACCAGCGATTTCAGACAAAAATGAATCATACATTTTATGACTAATAGATGTACGTCTCTAGGATGTGAATTTATGGTTAATTGTAAATTCAATGGCAGTGATTTTTAACATGGTTGAACACCTTATACAACACTAAAAAAGAAAAGGAATTAGAGGTTTACTTTCCTTTAATTTAATTAACCAGCTAGAAAATTATTTACCCTAGTTAAATATACAGAAGAAAAACGTTAATATCATGTTGGTGCGTTCTAAGTAAGTCATTTTACCTTTTTGTTTGATCATATGGCATTGTCTGTTCGTGTTTACTTTCTGGCTTGTTATTTACTTACTCTACCGGCAATCTGATTATTGACCAAGTTTGTTTAGTTACCTTCCATTTAAATAACAATCTCTTTGTCTCGCTAAATTTTAAATTCCACAAAAAAGTGGCTAGAATCCAAGGTCATATTGAGTGTTTTTCATAATCAGTAGAACGACCAATTTCTATGTGACTTCCGTCCTCGCATGCGACTCCTCAACGTTACGCGTTCAAAAAACCTAAGGTTTGTTTGTTGAATTCATAGAGAATGAAGAAGCATACCAAACATATAAATAGATTGAGTTCGTCGGAAGTATTTAGTTTCACAGAGGGCATTGAATCTTGGCTATCATCTGTTGATTCATTTGGTATGTTTGAAAAATATGAAACTTCACTATGAGACCTACTGATTGTTACCTGTGTTGAGCATTATTATGCCAAGTCACTTAGCTTAACGGATGTACTACAGACTTGATCAATAGAGTTCTGTTACTCCAGTAACATGTTAAAATATTGGTACTGCCACTTGATATTACTGCAGATACAACTGTTTATTTGCCACTGTATAACGAAATAGTTAGTGATACTGCTCGATCTGAGGAAGAGAAGTAAGACTACAAAAAAGTAGCTTATTACAAATTAACCACAAATCCCCAGCTGTATATAAATATTTGGTCAACTGTCAAATCTAATTAAACTGAAGTGGCATCAATTGACATTTAATTAATCAATAGCTTACCCAATTG